GGGTGCCAGCCAGGGCCGGATTTAGATGAAGAGAGGCCCTAGGCTACTGCACTTGTGAGGCCCCTCCCCATCCCCCACCCTCTCAACAAGAAGAAAATGGAAGAGTGTTATAAACAAAATGGAGTGAAGCCAAGAATGATGATGGGTATTTAAAATTATGCAATTCATAATTTCTCTTCTAAAGGACATAAGATATTATTGTTAAATACCATGGTGATTTTAAAAAATGCATAAAATTAACACTGAAAAACTTTTGCAATAAGTGAACTTTGTAAACCTTTTGTGGAATAAGTATTATTTTTTAGGAAAATTAAGTTGTAATGTTAATCTTTAAAAAACTGCGGGCGAAGGCCTGGCCAGGGCAGTCTCCCTCTTATATACCTGCTGGGATTCTGAGCCTCTGGCATCTGACCCTCACCTGACTGTGAATAAAAGGTGGCTGGGCTCATTGTCTCGGGGGGGGGGGGTTGGGAGGGGAGGTGACAAAACTGACTTCCAATAAGTGCCCCGCCTTTATTTCCATAACCAGTCCTTGAGTCTGTACTCTGAAAATGACACCAGGGAACTGGAAGGTGCGGGGCTTGTCAGTCCAACCCCTGCACAGACTCATCAGGGCTGACCTTAAGGCAACTGGAGCAATTTGGCCAAATTGGGCCCCGCGTGCTGCTCCTAAGGGGCCCACACACACCGGGGAAATGTAGATGGATTTTATTTATCTCTATAAGATTTTGCAGACTTTGGCTGTCAACTGGGGCCCTACAAAAAAAAAAACCAAGTTGCGCCCCACTAGCCCTGAGTCTCATAGTTGCTGGGCCTGAGTTGCCCTGCCCTTGCATGAAGTCTTGGGTTTACAATTTTGGGAGCGGGGAGACTGCGGCACTGGGGAGCGGGCAGGCTGGCGAGGCCCCTAGATTTAGAGGCCCAAGTTGTCCTGCCCTCACATGAAGTCTTGGGTTTGCAATTTTGGGAGAGGGGAGGTTGCCTGCTGGGGAGCGGGCAGGCTGGCAAGGTCCTCTAGATTTAGAGGCCCTACGCTTCAGCCTACTTAGCCTATACATAAATCCGGCACTGGTGCAGTTAATTAAAGCAACCCTGGAATATGGTGTGGAATCTGTATCTAATTCAGAATGCCACGGCCAGGTTGCTGCTGCCTGGGACTGTGAGGTGTGATCATATAACACTGGTCCTCAAAGAGCTGCACTGCCTGTCTGTCTGCTGCTGGGAGCAATTCAAGGTGATGACATGGATATACAAAGCCCTAAACGGCTTGGATAAAAGATCACATCTTCCTGTATTTGCCAGCCTGTGCTTTAAAACCACAAAGGTTTTCCAGATATGTTCTAACATAGAGGTCCTGCTTGTGGGCCTATCAATAGAGATGGGGCAGTGATATAAAGCAGGGCCTTCTCTGTGGTGGCACCTCTGTATGTGGAACTCTCTCCTTGGGGAGGTTTAGAACTGCATAATAGACTGGATGAAATCCAATAAACGGTTAGTGGGTGGATCCCTCAACCAAATTGATAAAATGTGTCCTGTCCTAGATGGGGTTACACTGCCCTCTTTAAAAAAGCAGGTGAGTAGCTTGAGGGTATGTCTTGATCCATTAAAATCAAACAAGCTCTGTCCCCAAATCCAAATCCTGCTCACCCACCCTCCAGCACAGTAGCTTTTAAATAAAGAATAAAGAATAAAGAATTTAAATAAAGAATTTGGCCCTAAGCCCTTGCTGGATAGGAGAAACTTCTTAATGGTAACTAACTGTACTGGGAGGTAGAGAAGTTTTCTTTTCCTGGAGATATTTAAACAGAGGCTGGATGGCTAACTGCCAGCAATTCTGTAGATTCCTTCCCTGAGTAAAGGTTCAGATTAGATTACCTCCAAGTTTCCTTTGAATACTAAAGTACTATTCGTTGGTACTATTTTTATATTGTCTTCTCTATACATAGTCTCAAAGGACAGGATGCACCATGTATGATTTTTATCAGCTTACACATTTTTATGTTTGTTTGGGGAGTTTCTGCATAATGTGGGAAAACAGTTAAGGAAATGAATTTTAACAACACTTTAAACAGGGAAGGCTACCTGTCTGTCTAAGCAAAAAAAAATTAATAAAAATTATTAACTATACTAACTGCTTGAATTTTAAGTTGTTTGCAAGCAGCTGCTCTAGTCAAAACAATTGCACCGGAACAAAAATTGGATTCTTAAATTGTGTTCATCTTTTAACTTTATCACTATCTCATCCTCCTCCCCAAAAAAGAAACACTGATAGCAGGATGACTTTAAGGCATTCAAAATATCAACAAACTGTGAATTTCAGTAAACACATTTTCTATTATTATTCATGCAACAGCTCAGCAAGAAGGAAGAAGAAAACAGAGAGGTACAAGACAAGAAAGAGCCTGAAATAGAAAGCGCTTATTCATTTTCATAGATAGGAGAGAACAATTTATTAAAATCTTGATATCGTACTGAAGAACTAATTGTATGCAATACTTTGCATCTTAAAGAAAGCCGACTCCTCTCACATATTAAAGCATGTCCAAAATTGTACTTTTTTGTTATTTTAATGTAGCAGTATCAAATAGCTAACACAAAGTGCCATGAAATACAACATATTCTGTTATTTTGGGCCTTTCCAGTCATTTCCTCTTGTTCAGAAACTACCCCAGTGGTTCTGGGTTTTGTCACATTGCCTTCAGCTACCACACATTGCCAAATAATACAGCATCATTTTGCTATTATAGGATGTATCTGCATTCCCAAACTGAATTCTGGACTAAATGCAAAGTAGTAATGTCACAAAGGGGGCTGCACCTTCTCATGCAAACTCACTCTCATATTGTTTGAGGATTTTTATTTCTAGAGCAGAGATGTTGATCCTTCTGTTGTTATGCCCTGCAGTGTATGTGTTTGGGGATGCCCATAGCCTCGATGCCTTCACAAGAACTTTCCAGCGAATCATCCCACTGACCACAAGTCAATTCAGACTCTCTTACTCTTGACCTGTTTGGACATAAGGAACAGCTACAGCTGTGGTCAAGTGACTTGCTTGAGTCAATCAAGATGTCACTGGAGGCATCAGGTACAGGTAGGACTTCTGGGATCTCCTGCTTGCCATCTCAGTGAGAAAAAAGGAGGGGAAAGGGACAGGCAGAGGGAGGCAGTGGCATAGGAAGGGCGGTGTGGTGGGTGCGGGCCACCCCAGGTGTCATCACTGAGGGGGGTGACAAAATGGCAAAAATATGTGTTTTTGAACAAATAACTCCTGCACCCACTGCAGGCCCCTTCCTACACCACTGCAGGAGGATTTCCAGAAACCAGAAGCATTGCTGCCTCCAACTTTGCAGGAAAAGCACAGCCTTTATGGCTAGTAGCCCTCGACAGCCCTCTCCTCCATGAATCTGCCTAATCTTGAGGCGTAGCTAAGTGAGGCGGGGGGCACTGGGCGTCACACCACAGGGCCTGCAGTGTGCCTGAGCCACGCGTCTCTCCTGAGGGGGAGGCAGTGGGCCGACTGCCTGCAAGCTCTGCGCTGCTTTTTCGAGCAGCGTGGGGCTTGCATCTGCCCACTGCCTCAGCCACCTTACAGCTGAGGGGGAGGTTGTGGAAAGGCTCCACGCAGTGCACCCTGCCTTGGCTCACTCCGCCCCCATGGACGGCTCACTCCGCTCCCGGCTGCAAGGTGCAGGCACCCGAGTGGCTAGCTACACCACTGGAGGGAAGGAAGTATCCTTCTCTCTTCCAGAAGTAGCTTACTAGGTGGGGCAGAGCCACAAGACTAGCTTCCCATGTGTGTCACTGCTGCTTAGAGGAGGGAGAGGTGTGAGGTGGCAGGGAGGTCAGTGCAGCGCACATGCACTGCAGGAACCAATTCAGTGCTATTGTTAGTGCACCTGCACTGAGCCAAACTTCCTGCCACTTTGCTCCTTTCCCTCCCAGTAAGCAGTAGTGATTTTACCTTAAAATCCTGCACTTTCATGAACCTAGAATTCTTCATGGCAAAGTACTCACCTTCTCAGCAAGCTTCCTCACACAAACCTTGCTATCCAAACGTGAAATAATCTGCTGAAATACACATTTGTAAACTTCATAGTTACCCTAGCCTCCTTCCTGTCAGATTCATCTGCTAAGAAGACGTTGTCCTTCTCCGAAATCTTACTGCTCCTTGCCGTGGTGGGTGATAAGATTTGCTGTCTCACTGAACAGTCTGATAAGGCTTAGGGAGGTGCAGACAAAATAGCTGGCGCATGGAGGCTGCTATATTTGCTTCAAGTTATTTTTCTCCATATGGCAAGCCAGTCATGTGCTGCAGCATCCCACCCGCAAGACAAATCAAGAGACTGGCCAAAATAAAAATAAAGAATGCATTGGCTTCTCCCAATAAACCATGGAGACATTTAGGTTGCATTTAGAAAGCACTTTATTCCAAATGTTCCCTTACTTGATAATTGACATGTTTCATGTGATCTTTTGAATGGTGGGAAAACCATTTCTGGCAAACGAGTAGAAGTTTAGTGCTCATTTCCATGGTACTTGCTTCCAGGAACGAAATCCGTTTGCAACCCTGTCAACCCGGAAAATCACGAGCATTTTGCACTGTAGTTTCTCTGCAGTTTTAATGGATCCCACCACAGTCACTCACATGATGAAAATCCAGCATAGATTTCTTTCCCACCGTCTTCATGGGGGAACAGACGCATGCTTGCACATAAAGGGTTGCAACCCATCTGACGACATCCACTGCAGTGTCACACCACAGCCACTGGTGTGAATAAAATCTAGTGTGCCATGACAGTATATTGATCAAGAAGCCACAGTTCCATAATGCAACAGGTAGTGCACTGGAAAAAGAATGTTAGAAACCAGAACAGAAGTGCTAGGGAAGTGAACACAATAACTCTCATGTCTGAATGGACACAGGAGCAGAGGAAGAGGCTTTTATACTAAGTCAGACCATTGCTGACAATGGCTAGCAGTGATTCTTCATGATCTGAGGCAGGAGATGCCAGGAACTGAACCTGGGACCTTTTGTATGCAAAGCCTATGTTCTACCACTGAGCTAGAGCCCTTCCCCACTTGAAAGCAGCCTCCATTTGGCAACAGTGTTGTGTACATCAGTTCTAAATCTTGGACCTATTCTAACAAGAAATTAACTACTGTTGCTTATGTACACCACATTGTTCCTGTAACAAGCTGGAGCAGAAAGGATAGTAAATTGCTTGTTTTGAGCTGTAAACTAGAAACTGACCATTGTGTTTGAAATTTTGTTTCTGCGTCGGCTGAGTACAATGATTTGTGCTAATTGAAACGATGCCTGGAAATTAGCTTCTGTTCCACCCAGAAAACTAAATTTAGGACCTTATCTCTTGTCAGATTCAAAAGTGGGTGAAAATATATGCTTGTGTGGCTATTTCGATGCACCAAGAAAGGTCTGCAAACTTGGGATTGTGGAGACAAGGACACTGGTGCTGAGAGTTTACTGCTCTCTGGAGAGAAGGACAAGAAAATCAATAAGATGAATTTAACCTGCCTTTTAGCCTTGGCTTACTAATTCCTTTGAACGAATTCCAGGGTAGTATTCAATGCTGGTCCTACTCAGAGTAGACACATTGGAATTAATGGGCATGACTTAGAATAATAGAATCACAGAATTGTAGAGTTGGAAGGGACCCAAAGGGCCATTTCTATAGCTTCATCATTCCAAGAGATGAACTGTGAATAGGACTTATTTGAACCCCCAGTATCATGTTTTGCTTTGTGGGATGTTCTCAATTGTTGTGGCTTCCCTAAATGAATCAGGGTTTTGGTTCTTAGCAGTGGAGGCTGACCCTTAGGACAAATGGGGCACTGCAACACCACCCTCTGCCTGCCCTCAGGCAGACCCCATCTGCTCCCCTGTTTATGACCAGGTTCTACCTGTCATTGGCTCTGGCTCCAACTACTGTTGGTTTTCCTGCCTTCTACCTTATAAGTCCCAATGGTCACCAGTTATCACTGTCATGTCTTTGAGACAGAGACCAAGTAAGAGCTGTGGCAATATGTTGGACATTGTGAGCTTGTTTGGAGGTTCTAGCAGGGGAGCGCAGCTATCGTATACCCTTGACCGAAGAACGGTACACTCCTTCTATCTGGGATGGTCGTCCTCTTCCACCGAGTGCGCAGCTTCAGGAGGGACGCACATGGAGTGGTGAGGGAGGAAGGGGACACCCGCCTAGCCAGCCAGATCAGTCGAATCAACCCTGGCGATCAATGGGGTGACAGATGTCGCAGCCAGATCGCCCTCACATCCTGGACATTGTGTGCCATTAAGGGAGAATACAATCTTCTCCAGAAGCAGCAAGACAGGAAGTGTGACTCCCATGTGCCTAGATCATAGAATCATAGTATCAATGAATTGTAGAGCTGGAAGAGATCCCAGTGGTCATCATACTATAGAACAATGGGACAATATGCCACTATATACAGCTCCCATCTTCAGATGTGACTTAGAAGTAGAAGAGCAGGAACATAAGAACACAATAAAGTGCCTTTGACCAAGTCAGATCTATTGGCCACCTAGCTCACTACTGTTGATAAAGACTGGCCTCAGCTGTCCAAGGTTTCAGACACGATTCTTTCACAGCCATACCAGGAGAAGTTGGGGAATGAACCCAGGACTGTCTACATACAAAGTGTGGCCCTTCCTGGGTCACTGAGCCACTCACACATCTCTTGTTGTCGCTTCTTCAGACCACCTGAAGGATCCCTGTGGGGGGGGGGTTAAACTTCCTTTTATCACTTGACCCATGAAAGAGGATTAACTCCCTAAGCTAGGACCAATTTCAGGTCTCCTTTTGGGCTTATTTTCAATCCATGTTGAAATTGTTGGTTACAATGGACTTAAGATATAATACACACTTGAGCATCCTACTCCACATGCCAAGGCCCCAGTTTATAGCTCAAAATCTACTCTAGAGCCAGGCTTCATGAACAGCAGAATCACACAAAGGAAATGTGGCTAGATGGTTTTATTTCAACAACAGTGCTTAGCTTTCTCTGAATTGCAGAGAGAGAGAGAGAGAGAGAGAGAGAGAGAGAGAGAGCAGTAAGATTTACAGTGCCAGTTTGAGACACTGTCCCCTGCAGATCCCTACCACCCCTACAATCTTAGAATACAGAAATTTTGCTACAAACGCTGCTCAAAACTATCTCTAGATAAGAAAAAAATGACCACAATTTTCTAAGAAACTGACACGATTATCCTCTTCAATTTAAAGTAATTCTAGCAGTTTTTCACTTAATTTAATCCGTCTGCTTGGAGATCTCTTGATGATACTAGAACTTCTACCTGACTGCATTATGCAATATGATATGAGCCACAGAATTGCCTTATTTAAGAGCCCTTATTTAAGAGCCCAGTTGCTATAGAAAGTATATGTTATATCTGTGCATGAACTAAGCATAATATTGCTTTTGGTGCAGAATTATTTCTATCAGCTGTAAGTATAATGATGTGATGAGCAAGTTTCCCCCAAATCTTGCCATGGGCAAAGTAGCATTTCACGCATCTAGCTTTTTTTCTTACCCCTGTACCTATAGTAGGCATATCCTATATACTATGAGTGAGAGCCATAGAGTGGTTAGAGAGTCATGCAGTGGTTAGTATGACTTGGGAGATCAGGGTTCAAATCCTCACTCAGCCATGAAGCTCACTGGGTGTCCTTGGGCCAGTCATTGCGTTTCAGCCTAACCTACCTTATGGGGGGGGGGTGATGGTGGTGATTATTTATATTCCACCCTTCAGCTGAAGATCACAGGGTGGTTTACAAATATAAGAGTTGCTGTAGGGATTAAACAAGGAGAGGCAGAATCATGAATACCACCCTGAGCTCCTCAGAGAAAAAGGTGGGATATATAGTCATTAAAAATAAATATATACAGGCATCAACATTCACCTTGTGCATTTTTAAAAATTCTATTCTGCTTCTGTTCTCAGTTCACTTTGATCTGTGTTTTGGGTTCCAAGCTGCTCTGTATAAAAGAAAGCTCTGGGTTTAAAACAAAGCTCCATTCACAATAATGATAAATCTAAAAATTGGTATAACTCCTTCCCTTTGGGCCAAAATGGATAGAATTTGCAGGCACAGGATTCCCTCTACAGTTTCTTAGGCATGAAAAACCACAGACAAATAGGTCTGGGGGTTTCATGGGAGAAGTGAAAAACATTCACTTTCCTTAATAATCCATTTTAATTTCATATTTTTGATGCAGTCTTTTTATTTTTACTTTTTAAAAAAATGGTTTGATGTTGTGCTTTAATAACTTTTGCCAAGTCCATGGACCTAGAGAAACATGGAGATATATACTGGAAAACATAGAGCTATGAGGCACAGAAAAAATAGAGTTGCACATAGTTCTGTAAGTGCTTTGATCCAGTTTGGGGGGTATTGCCATTGCACTTTGACCTAGGAGGGAGTCAAAGATCCCCAAATCACCCCAATTTGCCTTGTTATTTCGTCCCTTCCATAGAGTCAACACACACCCACAATCAGGAGTGCCAACTTGAATAAAATATTGGGGGCCCAGGTAAGCCCCGCCCCAGATAATTAATCGTATGACACAGTGCATGCACATCATTTGAATGGCAATCCCCATCACCTTTTGGGGGCAGCCCTCTCAAATATTTTATTGGAGGGGGGCGAAGGGACCTCTGCCCCAGGAGTTGGCTCCTATGCCCCCAATATGTGTTGCACTTTAGAGCAATAGTTTCCTTTTTGCATCATCATTTATCCATGTTCTATTTAACTTCCTTATTTCTGGAATTAAGGTAGCATTATTTGGTTCGCCTCAAATCCTTATGTGTTATTAATATGAAAAAAAGTGGAATAAGTTTGTAGCTTCTAAGGCAGTTGCTTCACATTATTTTGAAGACAATATTTTTGACAGTTCCAGTGTTGTATTTTCTAGATTTTGGCAACATTAAAAATGGGTTTAAACCAGAAACAAAATGTTATCTTCTTTGCAAGACTCTGATGGAATGGCAGCTGTTAGGTGACAACTGAGGGAGAGTGTCAAAAGCAGCTGGTCTCTCAGCAGAGTCAATGGAATAGCCCTGCTTCTCTTCACTGCTTCTGCTCTGCAGCCTGCATAGGAATACAAAATTGGACTTTTGGTATGCATGAGAACCTTTCCAGATCCTGACTTTGCTTTAGTGCCAAACCAAACACTCCCCAGCCCAGAAGCTAAGATGTGGCCCAAGAGAACTCTAAGCCAGCACTAGTTCCCCTGAACCACTCACTTTGACAACCATTGTCATCCCACTAGCAATCCCTGGGCTCCAAGCCTTCTTCCCTTGGGGTTCCTCAGCTGGTGCCTCCCACAAACGGATCCAAATAGGCTCCGCTTGTGAACCAGACTTTAATGAGCTCCTAATCCTCTTTGGGGAAACAATACATGTTCAATGTTTCTGTGGTGCTAGGCAATTGGTGAGAGAATCAATGTATCTGAACCAGGCACAGGTGGCTGGGTGATGGAGTTCCATATGTAGACGTGCCATAAGCCACAGAATTAACTGGCAACACTTTTATTATTTTAATAGTTTATGTTTGATTGCATTTTGCCTTGGAATCCTGTCCTCCACCCCACAACCCATCATCCATTATATATGAAGCTAACAAATGTTGTGTTTGCTAGAAACCTCTATTGAAAGATAATCACTGGCTTTCCTGATGGTGATCTGAATAGTTCTGCTTCTGTTGTTTATCCTTCCTTGAATATGGTTGCGTTTTCCCTCTGCCAACAGTTGACAAACATTATTGGAGTTCTACTCCATTGCAAACAATGGAGGTTGTCTTTCCCTTGTATTCAAACAGAATTGCTTTCACTGGGTACATTTTTGAACCTGTTACTAATTTAGATATTAAATTCATCTAATGAAAATCAGAGGTGAATGACTTGCCAATAAATAATTTATTTGACTAATTTAGCTTGACTAATAAACAGAAGCAGATTGCATTTTTCTCCAGTGTATTAGTTATTCAAATATATTTGACAAATTTAGCATCTTGTATGAGAAATTAAACTGCATGCAGTTTATGAATATTTAAAATATGAGCTGTTTTGGTTATAATTGGGTCAGTTCCAAAGAACATGTGACAATTGGGTCGTAGATAGTCTTGACTAACGGTGACTTTGCGAGGTTATTTGATGCAGGATGAAGAGCAGGCAGTTCACATGTTTTGAGAGATTTACTAGATATCATTTCTTCTGCTGAGTTAGGTTTTGAAAGGAACACATAAAACAGATGGAGCCCACTTCATTTTCAGGTCTGGCACAAATAGTTTACTATGTTAACACATGAGAAAACAGAGTATAAAACTGTTGACATATTAGGTGGCCATTTTCCCATGAATCACAGAGAGGTTCCAGGGAGAGTGAGTTCTAAACTGAATTGTACATTCCCAGCACACACTTTTCAGATTGCTGCTCAATATATCTAGTGTAGAAATTTTTTAATGATTTGCTTGTGCAGTTTCCTGGTTTTGTGCAAATCTGAGGGATGGGTGGGCATTCTTCTGTTCAGAAGCTCACCAAAAAATAGTTATGAGCACAGCTGGAAAAGGAATGAAAGCATTGAGGAAGTAGTGGACATGGTAAAGGGAGTAACAGAAAATGACAATTGACCCAGCCATCCAAAAACACCAAAAGTGTTTATATATGACAGCAAGGGAAGTAGTTTGGAGCCTGATTCTCCCCAACTTATCAGACTATTCCCATTTTGGGAAAACCCAAACTTACAGGGGAAAAGCCTCGTGACTGGTGTTGCTTGAGGGTAATGTCATGTCAACTAGGTACATTAAATGGGAATGCAAGAAGCTGCAAACACACAGTAAGCTGCTGTTGAAAAACCCTTAGTGCTTTAATTGTTAGTGATCTCTATGTCTATCTCTCTTATACAAATAAAAATGTAAGGCTGTTGTCACTCTGTGGTTGGCAGTCATGCCAACTCCTGTGTGATAAAGGGCAGGCAGCCAAGCAAGCAGCCCTGTTTAGAGGTGGCCCAGGTTTATCAAGCCACTCCGTGAAGTGCTCTAGTGACATTTAATGAAGGGGGGGCACTTCATAGATAGGTTTAGCAAGCTGCAACAATGGATGGGAAAGATCCTTCACACAGTGGTTTAGCAAGCTGTACTGTGAAGCTCCTCCCTCTCTTGTAAAAGTGGGTGGGGCTTGGGGTGAACTGTGAGAGGAGGAGGAGAAGCTAGGGCCAAGCTGTGCAGGAAGGGGTGGGGCAAGCTGTGAAAGAGTGAG